TATTATTCGTAGGAGTGATCACTAAAGAAAATTTCTGATGTAATTGCTTATAAATTGTCTGCACATATGTATGTACGTTCCTATCGTCTTGCATTTCATTGGATCCAACCCAAACAAAAGTTGCGCGGCGATACCTGCGCGAAGACTCAGTTTTTCGCTGAGTGGACCTACTGGTTATACTGTGCTCCACTCACTGAACTCACTCCACTGCTCTAAAATAAAGATAATAAGTTCTTCGTGGAACCAGAGAGAAGCGTGAAAGCGGCCACGCCGGCTCTTTGGATGGGACCGGCAATCTCCCCCGGACACTAGCGCCCCACGTCCACGTTTTCAAAAAAGAAACTAAAAACATGTTGAGCAAAGAGGCACGGAATCCTGGCCAGCGGGCTCGTCAGAAGCTCGAAAACTCCCGCCGATACGCGGAGAACACGTTGAGCGAAGAGGTATCCTAACCAGTACACGTATCGACAGAGGCTTGTTGATAAAGTGAAAAACTGCTGAGCGAAGAGGTACGGAATCCTGGACAGCGGGCCTCGTCAAAAGCTCGAAAACTCCCGCCGATATGCGGAGAATACGTTGAGCGAAGAGGTGACACGGAATCCTATTAATCCTAGCCAGCGCGCCTCGATATAGAGGCTGAAAAACTCTCGCCGATACGCGGAGAACACGTTGAGCGAAGAGGTGGCACGGAATCCTAGCCAGCGCGCGTATCGACAGAGGCTTGTTGGTAAGGTGAAAAACTGCTGAGCGAAGAGGCACGGAATCCTGGACAGCGGGCCTCGTCAGAAGCTCGAAAACTCCCGCCGATACGCGGAGAACACGTTGAGCGAAGAGGTGACACGGAATCCTACTAATCCTAGCCAGCGCGCCTCGATACAGAGGCTGAAAAACTCCCGTCGATACGCGAAAAACATGTTGAGCAAAGAGGTATCCTAACCAGCGCGCGTATCGACAGAGAGTTGTCGGTAAGGCGGAAAGCTGTTGAGCGAAGAGGCACGGAATCTCCCACTCTCATACGGCGCGTAGGCCCCGCCTCTGGGCGCAAAAGCAGCATATATGCGTGGGTGGGGGCAGCGCGGCTCCTCCTCCATGGCGCGCTGGCGGCCTCCGCCCCGAATACCTCTGCCACCTACTTGTTAACGTGTGCTCCTGATACTTTATTCGATGTAAACGAAGTTTCTGACGCTGCGAAAAGCCGGCTTTTGCTTAACCTCTCATCTCTATATGTACTTTTAACAATATTTATGATCCTTTGTGCATCTCCACAGATGCGTAATTAAATTTAAACTATAGTTTAAATAATATATTATTTAATTATAATGTAACATTAAAATTACTCCAAATTTATTATGACAAATAAGTAATTTACGTATAAGACGCGGCAACTTATTTCTTACGATAAAACATAATAAACACTGAAAATCGTTCGTTAATTATTATGTAACAATAATGTTTTAGAATGTTTTATTAATAAGGTCTTTTCGAGAAAACATATATGCTTCGCATTAAAAGACACGTGAAATTGCTACTGTATAAAGGCATTTCTCGGAAAATTATCGCGCCTATACTGTTTCCCGTCGGCGGAGGATTTGGATGTTTCTCCTTTTCGTTATCATCCATGCAACAATATTTTAAATTATTTTATTGTTTAATTCTTTTCAAGGTAGTATGAGCCTAGCATTAAAGAATACAAGGATTGCAGATATATTGATAATAATCCAGCGTGTTGCTTTTCGGAGCTTCGTCGAGCCCCTATCAGATCACATTGCGCCTATTCTTTCCCGTCGGCACTTGGATAGACGTGGTGCGTAGTTCCTTTTTTGAAAACGTGGACGTGGAGCGCTAGTGTACGGGGGAGATCGCCGGTCCCACGCAAAAGGTCGGCGTGGTCGCTGGTGGCCGCTCTCACGCTTCTCTCCGGTGGAGCTGTGGAAGCCGTTAATACGTAGTCGATCTGAGCCACCTTCTGGTCAAGTTGAGTTCGGGGAGTCGAATACGCGCGCGTATTCGGGATAACTGACGACGTTGAGCGCATTCCGCCCGGTTGGCCCGGTTCACTTAAATCGCTCGTCAAGAGCGGTGATTAACCGATCCAGGTGGATTCCGAGGAGGTAAGAGCGTGGCCGTGAGCGCGATCCCTGGCAGAGACCTTTTAACCTTTCCAATCCAATGCGTTTTCGGGATTTCTACGGACGTGCGCGTGTAATCGATAATATTATTGCCGTCTCCCTTCGAAGCTTTCTTGTCACGTTTACGTTTCCCTGCGAAGCGACACGTGCGAAGGTGAGCGCAATACCATTCTCGACGTATGTATACGTACATACATATGAAACGATCGAAATTGTGAAGTCACTCCGGACTGAACAATCGGTGCATTAATTATGATTACGCCTCGATTTACTGACGCACGTACTTTGTACTTCTCGCGTACCTTTTCACTTTTATTTTATTTCGCTCCTATTTCTATTTTACATTTTGAACATCTTTTTTTTTCATACAGATAGCAGCTGTCCTGCCGATATCTTACTTTGCGCTGTATATTTCTGTCTTTGATATTTATGATACTCATTTATCTCGTTATCAACTTTACAACTTTATTTACTTATAACTATCAAAATGATATCGATATTGAGCTCATCTAACTCACCTAATGTTACTTTATTGTCTTTTTAATGTCTCAATATATATAATTGACATTACTTCTTTAATGTCTGGAATATTTAGTAAAATCATTCTTAATTTGGTGAATAAAACCATCACTCACAAACGAGTATAATAGGATCCTTGCGAATTTTACACTTCTCAAATATCAATAATATGGTAGTCGAAATGTTAGGCTTAGTTTCACCTTTAGGATAAACTATGTGGTAATTTATCCATTAAATAAATTATCACATTGTTCGTCTGAAGGAACAAATTGTTCTTAAACAAGATAAATGATGTATGCAATAAATTTATTGTTATATAATTTGTTACATATTCATACAATCTTGTAATGTAATTCAAATACATCATGCTAATTGCTTATTTCCTGATACTTACAGATAATCCAGAAACACTTTTGCCATGGTTAACGTTAACGCGAGGGTATTCTTCGACGTCGAGGTCGGCGGACTGCCGATGGGCAGGGTAGTCTTCGAGCTGTTTTCAGACACCTGTCCCATAACATGCGAGAACTTTCGCGCGTTGTGTACCGGAGAGAAGGGACTTGGGAAAACGACGGGCAAGCCGTTGCATTATAAAGGCATCGTTTTTCATAGGGTCGTTAAGGATTTTATGATTCAAGGGGGAGATTTTTCGATAGGTAATGGGACGGGTGGCGAGTCGATTTACGGTGGTACATTTGCAGGTAAATATATACTTCTATTATTACACGAGTTTAATTGAATAAAAAATTGATATTGATTTAATAAGAAAAAGATTGACAGAAATTCGAATCTTTTTGAAAATTAGTTGATTTAATAAAAAGAAGATTAATAGAAAATTCGATTCTTTTTGTAGATGAAAATTTTATTATGAAACATAACAAACCATTTTTGTTGTCAATGGCGAATCGCGGTAGAGATACTAACGGCTCACAATTTTTCATGTAAGTACACCAAGATAATATTTAAAGTCATTGTTCTCTATAAAATTGCTAATTGCACGCATAGTAAATTTAAATATGTGCAAGTTTAATATATTATGATATTATATTTGTTACAAAAGTAACTGTAACTGTATTATACACATTATATGATTGCTTATGTATGTAGCAAAGTCTTACAGGTGCCTTAGCAAGCAAGATATTACAACATGGTTATTATATATTTCCTTCATTATATTGAAAAATTCTCTTCAAAAAATAATTTTCTGAATTTTTTTTCTCCATTAATAATTAGGCGTTTTATGTAAAAATCAGGTTGAAGTTAATGTGACATTAATATTTAGTCACGTTTCCCACAGAATTTTCCTAAATGTAAATAAAAAAAGCGACCAGGCTAATCCCCAGTTATATCATATGTTCCAAATGTATGATCGACAGATTTAATTTGCATGGTGAAAGCCAGCAAGTTTTAATTGCACACGAATGTATAGTATTGCCTCTCACGATATTATATGCGGCGAACTCACGGCAGATATCGAAAACAAAAAAAAGAAACATAAAGAGTAAGAATCATTCTGGAGGAATGATTAACTTAGCGATGTTTTTGCGTAGTCGTGAGGGGGTCTGCACACCACTACTACAACACAAATGACCAATGAAAGCTCTGGCTCTTTCTGTTCATCTCTCATCCCCTTAATCATATTTTGTTGTTGTAGTACAACACAACCAGCGCCTCACCTCGACAAGTGAGTATACACGTCACATTTTGATAAATGCCAAGCCTGTTCAAAAGCCTGTTTGCCTGTATGAAAAATTTCTTTCTGTTTCCAGTGTCCATGTGGTTTTTGGAGAAGTAGTGTCTGGGCAAGAGATCATTACGCATATTGAAGGACTTCCAGTAGACCGAATGTCGCGTCCGTTGCAAGATGCTAAGGTTGTAAACTGTGGCGAATTAATCTTAAAGATTAAAAGTAAAGGTATAATCGCTTTCCGTTCTATGCACGTATGGACGTAAGATTGAGAAAGTCATGAGTACATTGTAACATACGTTACGTGCATGTTTGCAGTAAAGAAACGAGAAGCGAAACAAAGTAGTTCGGCAGATTCCGAGTCCGATTCTTATCCCGATAAATCGAAGAAGAAAAAGAAGAGCAAGAAAAGGTACGTTAAACGCGAAAAGCTGCAAGTCCCGGATATTCGATATTGCCACGATCGAACTGTTTTGCTTCAGTAAAAAGAGGGCGAAGTCGGAGGACGGTGAAATTCGGGATTCTAACGAGGAAGACGATGGGCAGCCCCATCCGCTAGTATCCGTTACCAAAATTGATCCCGACGAAATTCCGGAAGTGCCGGCAAATAAATTCTTATATAGAGCAGGATCCACCAATAATGCAAATCAGAAGGAGTTTAGACAGCATTACGGAAGAGATCGCGTACGATCTCATAGAAAGACTGGTCGCGTTTTCAAGGGTAGAGGAATATTCGTAAGTGATTTTTCATTTGTCATAAGATGCATGCTAGTATCTGTTACGACGGCTATCCAATTCAATTAGTCGTATACAGCTAAAGAATAGACGAGAATACAGCGTCAAATTTCATTCACCGATTTATCTTACGATTTAATTGCGGATGCATATCTTAAATAAATTTCAGCGATATCATACTCCTTCTCGAAGTCGTTCCAGAAGTATGACACCACCTCATTGGAAACAAGCTCAAAATCGTACTATTAAATTACACGAATTTCAGGTATATTCTAATACATACGTATATTCTATACATATGTCAAAGTATGTGTAACACGTGTACGTAATTGTTATTCTTCACCTGTGCACTGTTTTATGCACTGCAGAAAATAGAGAAAGAGCGTGTCAAGAAAGAAGAAGATTTCAAACAACGTGAAACCGACAGAATTAAAAGATTCGTCGAGAATCCCGATGAAAATGATCAAATGCCAGATTTGGATAGCAATGTATTCACGACGGAATTAATGGAGAACAAAGAGAACGACCAGACAGACGAAGCAACTGCTATATTACAGGACGATAATAACGTGAAGAGAAACGCGGAGGGAAACGACGTTATGCAGAACAAGGAGATTAAGCACAATAAAAATGAGAAATCGTTCAAACGCGACGCCAACCGTTTCTACAATGACAGAAATTCCCGACGTGACTCCAAGGATAGAAGCAGGAGACGCGGACGTTCCCGGTCGAGAGATCGTCGAAGATCCAGAGAGAGGGACTACGATCGTAGGGCTAGTCGTGATAGGAGGAATCGGAGAAATTATTCTCCTCGTAGACGAGATTCCTACAGACCCAACAGGCCCGGAAGAGATAATTACAGACACTACGATAAGCGCAACGATCGACGTCGAAATAATTCCCATCAGGACAACGATACCAACTCCCGCTACGACAAGAACAAGTATAAAAGGAGTGATAACACATCGGACGCGAGCCAGGCGAAATTTAAACGCCGTTCGCGGTCAAACAGCTCCAGTAGCCAGCACTCCAAAAATTAATTCGCGTCGCGTTTCACATTCTCCCTTTCGCTTATAAACACCAACGAAGTACTATTAAAAATAAAATTTATAACTGTCATTAAAAATTAATACGAATATCTGAACGATTAGCTTATAATGCAGTACTTTATTATTAGTTGTTTCATAGATAAGCATACATAATGATAGAAGTGTTCATGTTGCTTGAAATCCTTAACAAATTTTTAGGGCTTGAAATATATATTCGGGCGTTGGAAAAAGAGAAAGCAGAGGGGCGGGGAGGAAAAAGAGAGAAAGTGAAGATTCTAAGTGCACAAGTAAGCAATACGAAAGAAACCTATTTATCTGGATAATGATAAAACATAAAATTATATTATTAATACTGCATTATCTAATCGTCCAAATATTGGCAATCACGTCTTTTAGATAATCTGTCTGATACCTCGCCAATGCTACTGAGCACTAATACTATGATCATATTATCGATGTACAATCACCAACATATTATTAGTTTACGAATCAATAATAATGCCATAATAATGCTGGAGCAATATATCTTGATTCTCTTTCGGTCACATATTTGTGGTTATAATGCACATGTTTCATCATTGGAATGTACACAATAAGGTTTATATTTACATACTTTTATGAGAATGTCTATTTTTCGTGCATCTCTTCTCTTACCTCTTTCTTACGTTGGATATATATGTATATTATGTACTGCTAAATATTTTCAAAATATTTTTCTGTATGAGAACTTTCGCCAAAATTTCTAATTTTAATTCCTTTTTCACATCGTTGTTTTGCTTTTCATGATTAACAGATTGTGAGATATGACGAAATTGAAAAATTAATGATAAATTAATCAACGATTAAAAAATACGCTTTAAATATTTTATAATGTTTATGTAAAGCTCTTAGAAAATATATGTATGTATACATTTATATATATACACACACATACACACATTTTATATATATATATATATATATATATATATATATACACGATGTGTAAAATTGTAATAAATGAATTACTTGTACACGATTCTCGTGATGGCTGTCTATCATCCTGTCTATCATCAATAAAAAAGGAATTTTTTTAAATGGATTTAACATATGAATATATCTTCTATAACCGGTACATTTAAATAATTATTTTTAATCAATATTGTTTCAGTTATATATAAATTTATCGTTTTGAAAATATTAATTATATTGTTATAGAAAAGCGTCTTCTGTTAAAATTTGAGATTCGTAGCCATCTTTTTGATTAATGTCCATAAACAAATATACAGAATCGACGCTTTACCTAGTAGCCTGTATAGTGATATGTTATATGAATGATAATATGGATGTAATGTATTACATCCATATATCATATGATATACATATATTGATTCATAAATTATCGATATAATTTATCTTTACTAGAAATGTATATATCCGCGTTTGTACGTAGTATACTTGAAGCTGTTCCATCGTTAGTCGGCACATTGAAATTTTTTTCTCTAGATGATCTAGGTAAAAAATAATTTCTATACGTTCGACTTATTTTACAAAATATATTTATAAATCGATAATAAGCCCTCTACACAAAATTGACAAAGCGGCGCTTAAAGCTTAACAAATATCAACGGTCAATCTGTATATGGTATATATACTAGATAAAGGACTCGATACGATGAAACGTGTAACAATTAAACGCAAACTCCCTTGGATTACACGCAACATCGTCCACCCAACGTTGATTAATTGTAGATTTTTCTAGAATTTATATATAAAATATGCGTGTGGATATACGATTAGACTTTAAATCGCGCAATATACGTCAATGTACTGCTTGCCTGTATACGTTCACCATGGGTTTTGTCCATGCGGTGGCTGAGCACCGCCGTAACGTGGTAATGTAGCGTAACCTCCGTATGGAGCTTGAGGCATACTCTGATACGGATTGTATCCAGCTAAAAAAATTCACAGATCTTGTATGTGTCTTTTGAATAATATCGTGGCGTTGTTAGAAAAGTGACATGAGTCAAAAATTAAAAATGTTTTAATGAAACAAATTTGAAGCCTCTAAAGTCGATTTCCTTTCATTATCTCAACAATGCTAATTTTTTACTTGTGCCATTTTTCTATCAACGCAACGATATGACACATGTATTATAGATGACAGAACTGCTAGATCTCTTTGTACAGTGAGGGACAGATCGTGGATGATCGGTTGCAACACTTTTTTGTTTATAGCAAAACGCACTAATATTCTGCGAATCACGATTGGTGTTATAATGTCTCTAAAGATAGTACATCGTGATTCGCATTTGCAAAATATTAATTACCTATAAAATATATATTATGTATATTAAATATATTAGAACTATAAAAAAAAAGTGTCGCAACCGATTTGTCGTCATCTGTACATACCTTGCGTTGGATATGGCATCGTAGCATATGGATTGTACGCCGTTGGCATCGGTGGAGGAACGTACGTTGGATACGGTGCCATCGGCGCAGCACCGTAAGGTATAGGCATACTACCTTGAGGTTGGACGGGATAAGGCAGCTGCGGCGACGATGCGGCGGCTTCCGTGCCAGGCGAACCTGCAGATGCAGATATTTACTCGAATCGTAACGCGTTAATAAAATAAAACCAATTAAAACGTAACGAATCTGTACCACTACTGTGATGAGATGGAATGCTTGGTGTTGCAACCGGACCGGTCTGACTCAGGTTCGTAGTTAAATCTTTTAGAAGTTCCTCTTTTTCGGTTTTTCGGGCGAAACAGAAGTCGGATATCTTGTTTTGGAAAACCACGAGTAGCTATAAAAAAAAATTGTTTAGACGACGATCAAATAAGGAGAAAATCACAATATAAAAATATATATATACCTGCGTTAAATCGTTATAAAATTTAGCTCCTTCTCCTAGATTATTCTTCAGCTCTTTAAACGCATCGTATGCGGAAGCCAATTTACAAAGCATCGCTTCTCGCGCACTACCGCTACCGACTTGTTCGTTCGTAAATTCTGCATGGCAACTCTAAAACCATCGCAGATTATTATATATGTGTCCCCCTCTCTTTCACCTCTAATCTTGAACAGCTGTCCATCACGAAAGTGCCAGATATATACCTGAATTTCAGCAACTAATTTTTCCTGTTGCGCTACACTCTCCCGTACTTGCTTTTGCAAAGGTCCGTAACATTTACCCAGACTCTCGACAGATATATTTGGTTCATCGATCGCGCCATCCTTGGCAAGTGCCGAGAGGAATGTCGATTTCATGTCATTGGCAGCGAATTTAAATTCATTTTCAATAGTGTCTCGTACAGATTTTAGTGTGGCTACCTAACGAAGAAACAAAAAAAATATCCCACAGTGATTAACATAGAAAAAATTAATGCGTATTAATTCGTTCATCGTCCTTACGATTCTCTTTCACTTACATCTTCCATCAATTTCCTGAGCTTAATAACAGCATTACTTTCTTGAAGAGCAGAACCTTGCGGAATAGCCCTAGCAAGTTCATCCTCGTCCAAACTTAGAATTTCGATCCCTTCTTTGTGGCTCTCATATTTCTCACGAACTACCTACGTACGACGAAATACAATGGATACATTCGTAAGATTCACGAAATTTCTCTTCTCTTTTTGAATAATTACCTTATCAGCAGTAACTGCGTTATTAATAATTTCACGGTATTTTTGTAAATTGCTAGTAAATTGTTCGGTCAACCGGGCACTGGGTGTCCGCTTCCAACGCTCTTTAAATTGCTCTCTTAACTGGTTGTCGGACTCACGTTCCTCTTGCAGCATTCTTTCAGACTACAAATAAAAAGTAATGTGAAACACTTTTAAGGAGCTTTAATAGGAAAATAATATTTCTACCTCGTCTAAAAGCTCCTTGTTACGCTGCAATAAATCTGGCAGTTCTCTCATAGACGCTTCCAAAGCTCTTATCCCGCCTGATTCTCGCACACCAAGCGCTTTCTCCAAAAGCGATTCGGGTATTTCCGTTCCACTCGTGTCCTCTATAGCCGCTGGTAAGTTCAAGCTTGCCAGAACGCTGCGTGTACACACAATAAAAAATATTTAACGAGGGATCTGTAATTCGACGATAAAAATTGCGCTTCAGATATGTACCTATTCAGAAGTTGAGTCATTTCACGAAGATTCGAAATTTCGTAATTAACAAGCTCGTTACGACGATTCTCGTAGGCCGACATCGCGTGGCGTACATTAAGAGGCAACAGCTCGGCAAACAAATCTGTAAGCATGTGTCAATGTAGCTGACATTACGAGAGCGGGCGAGAGGGCTTCTCACGCGAGATCGATATTGCGTACCTTTAAAATCGGTACTGAATACTTCAGGTAGCGGGAGTAGTTTAGCAACGCTAGCTTTTCCTATAGCCTCCACGTTCTTAATATCCGGAATCCTTTCGTGATATATAAAGTCATTATCCTTTTTCACCTCCGTTAAATTTCTCTGCGCCCTGTTGGCATAATCTTGGAACAAATTCGGCTTATTCGATCTCTGCTGAGCGGCTTTGAACAGTTCCACAGCATGCTGAAGATATCAATGTATCTTTTTAGATATTGAAAACATAAATTTGTAAAATAAAATATAAAACGAATTTAAATGCAATTACCTCCAGTCTGGCTATTTCTTCGCCAATCGATTTATTATTCTTACATACAAGCGATTGATAAAATTCAGCCATGGCGCGATAACCAGCCTGTTTGCCAGCGATCTGCGAGAACATTTATTTTTAACAACGTGTGAAAACGAGTCCGTACGTTATCCCAATGTACTAACCAGTGGCACCCATTCCTTATCCCAAAACGCACGGAAGATTTCCTTCTGGAATAGCTTCAGGGCATCCGCATACAGCTCTTCCGCTTGCGCCGCAAGTCTCGCGACGATGCCGTCTTTCATGGAATCATGAATCGCTTTGTGCACGAATATTTCTTGCGCTTGCGCCAACATTAACGCGCTTAACGCTCCGAGCGTATCTGGGCTAATATCGGGTGTCGGTTCCTGTTGAATCGCCATCATGACATTTCCTTTCAGATGATTCAATATTCCTGCCGATTGCTACGGAAAGATTAGCCCGATTAAAAAACGCACAGATTAAAAAATATGAATGATACATAGAAATAAGAAGGCGAACCTGAAATAACTTGGCTGACAGTTTTAATCCTTCGTCGCTGTCCAAGGACTGCGTAGCCGCCACCGAACTTTGTAAGGCAGCGATATTGAAGAGCACGCATACTTTTTCATACGCCAACGTACTGATCGCTATATAAAACAATAATGTATTACAAGTTGCATCGCATTGTTATTGACGCACGTAGATTTAAGTTAAACCAATATTGTCTTATCTTATCTACAAGTCTAATATGCGCACTTTCGATCTGGAGATTAGCTCGTAACATTCTGACATCTATTGCATCAAATAATTTTCAAACGGCTCGAATTTCGTTGTAAAATAAAGATCGAGTGTGAGACAACAATTAATGTTCTCCAGTACTTACTTAGACTAAGTTTTCCCCCAAAAATTGTACGGTCGAAAGCGTCTTTCCACTTGAACGGTATTTGCAATTCGTGAGCGGGAATTTTCCCTTCCAGAGCGCATAATTGATCGTAATAGCTACAAACAAAATCACATATTCAGTTGGCAATGCTTTTCAGTCGTGAACGAAATTTTTCTTTCCCTACAATTCCATAAGATCTAATTTCATTTCTTTTAACTTCAAATCTGCTCTGTATCAAGAATTAAATTCTGCTAAGGCCTGGAATGATAATATTCCATTATCTGCCCTTTGACAACATACATTCACAACAAGACTTAAGCCCTTTAAATTCCTAATTTTCTTTTAAAGTTTTAAGGTGATTTTAGGCTGATTTTGTAGTTTCATCTTACATTTAAAATCGTCTCTCAAGTACAATCTTAAGATAAATCGTAAGACAAATCTTATTTCGGAAAAATATCGCATACAATATCGCATATGATATAATATATATATATAGTATACGTTACATATATTATAGATTTTTGTAAGCGATATAGATTTAAGGATGTAGACTCTGATTGAATGTCCCTCGTCACCGGGTTGCCGACTCGCTGACGTGGTGATTTGGAGGGCGCAGTGGGAGAGACAGTGGGCGAGAGCGAAATTACGCCGACGTTCCGCTCCGGAGGGAACTCGTGACATTCCGTCGCACGGTCGTCGCGCACACATAATATCGAGAATAATAAATCGAGAGAAAGATGAGTCATACCTGTAGATAACCTGTAAGGAGCTCTCGTACTTCTCGAAGGCGCGCCACAGAGCGTTGTTCCGCAGCTTGCCAAACTCCGCGACGGCGTCCGTGTAATCCTTGCCCGTGCCGCTATACGTCGACCGAATGACATTGGTGAGCGGCTTCACCACGTCGACATCCGAAGGCTTCTTCAACGGGATCGCGATCAACTCCGCCATGTTTGACGTACGACTTGTCGTTCGTCTGCCCGCCTGGGCGCCTGCTGATGATGATGATGATGCCGACCGCCGCTCGCGCTGCCCACCTTTGCCACCCTCGATCTCACGTTTTCCCCCACGATAGCCGTGAATCGCGGACCTCACGGATTTGGATCTGTCATGTTTATATCACTGCCGACCGCGCTAGTTCATCGATCTCTTTTTGCAACTGTGTTACATTTCGCAATAAAATTATAATTACACATATAACGTGACGAAAAATGAAAAAAGAAGAAAGATGAAAAGCATCGAAAAGTTCAGCTGAAGAACAAATCAGACGAAGTTAGACTAGCTATTGAAGATTGAGGTTATCAAATTGATGACTAGATATCGACTGGACAGTTCAACTAATCTCGATAAGTTCGACCTGAATTGATCGAATTTCGATTCTGGTCGAAGCGCGATTCGCATGAACTTACAATTAGAATTAGACGATGATTAATGATTTCTTAATTTAAACAATTTCCTTATAAAATCATATAAAAGCAAACGTAGGCCCGTATTCATAGTCCGTTCTTATTTTTTAAAACTGTACTTAAGACATTCTGAATGTCCTAAATGTAAAACTAATTCACTATAAATATTCATCGGCCAAAAACTTTTCAAATGTATTTAAATTAAAAAAAAGACATTTGGACAGTCATTGAGATAATTTTAATCAACTAATCATGTTTACACTACGCAATTAACCGCAGATTTAAATAAATGAAAGTCTTTATATGAGATCGTTTGTATTTTGTGTGAAGAGTTTTGCAGTATTATAATTGAAAGGATTTGACAATCATTTAAATAATTTTAAACAAATATTTTAAACAAATATTTTTTTTTAATTACAGGATTGATCGGTATATTATGCTAAGTTTACCCAAATTCTAGCATGTGCGTTATACATATTAGATAAAGAACAATAAAACTTAAAAATCATTTTAAGATGCCTTGTCATCGCGGGTAATAATTTATATCGCGCACGACAGGTACGCGTAATACAAACAAATATATAAGCGACTTCTCGTAAAAGAAAAGCTGACTAATTGTTGATTTCGATGGTTTACGAAGAGAGTTAGGACGACTCCGATCTTTCTATTATAACTTAATCGGCGATTATTTAACTTGTCAATTATAATATTTTCATTAATTGTATTATTTTACCGTAATATTTTGTTTATATTTTTATTAATATTGATAATATTATTAATTTTTTATTGTTTAAAATAAAATGTGGAAAAAAGATTAGATTGAAAACAACTATAATACAGTTAAAATTTTATGAAATTAAAAATTTTACTTTAAGCAATTAAAAGCGATTAAATTAATCGGAATTCGACAAAAGCCAAATACAGCTTACAATTAATAATTTCTGCATATCTGTCTAAATTACTTTTGTCAATATTTATGATGAATACTTCATAATTATAATAAATTTATGCACTATTTTTTGAAAAAAAGAACAAATTTTAAAATATACAATATTCACATAATAATAATTATTCTTAAATTAATATTCCTCTGCGAGCATTTCTCTGAATAAGTGTCACGCAGTTATTCTTATCAACAGCAGGGAATTTTTTTCATTATTAGATTGGCTTATCTATTATTGCTGTTTCAAATTTAACTGAATACATTCATTTATTCGCAATTAATTAATTGTCCATCTTGCAATCGAACAATTAATGCTTGGGCAATGGGGAACGACCATTTAGTATTTATTATAAATGCTAACGATTCATGCATAAAGCTTTATCATTGAGATCTTATCTAAATAATGGAGATTTTCTGAGTATTATTATTTGCAAAGTCACGGCAACTAGCGCACTTGACGTGACAGAGAAAGCTAAATCCCGAAGATACTGTTTTCACAATTCATCGTGACTCACGTACTTGTCCGCATCTCCTCGCGCTGGAGCGTCCGCTTATAATTTCAATCTACGCGGCGGTATAGTTAGTATATATCTCCAGTTGCGAGCAATGCGACCTAGCACAAGTTCACTGACAGGCTGATACACGGCAGTTTTACAGATGCAATTACATCGTATCGCCAACTGTAATCAGGTACGTTATGTCCGTCGCTTAGCCAGCATCGACAATTTCGAGAAAGGAAACACGAAATGTAGATCCTGTAATTTCATCCTCGCATAATATTGAAAGAAATCGCTCCATCATCACGCCCATTATCATTAGATAAGGAAACCATCCACTTATAGAATGGAAAAGAATGAAAAAGCAAAGAGGATCGACTTTCTCTATTTTTTTCTTTTCTCCGAAACGTCGGATCGTTTCGCGATAAAACGATATCGATGTCAGTTGTATTGATAAAAAGTGTTATTTATTTTATTTCTCAAGTATTGCGTCGTACGTTATAACTATAAGTTAGACGTACGAGCATTGCAACGATGTGTCTTCAACGAGCTCAATTTCTCAATTTTTGAATGATTTACACAGCGCGAGCACGCGTTATGCGCAATTATTCGTTCCTGCATTCAGTATGTGCAGATAAATCATAATAATGGAACGTTGATGTGTCTGTGCCCGTTATGCCTTTCCTACATTATCCCCACTTCACTGCTAGATGCACCGCTCGAGATCGAGGACAGGCTCGGATTTTAAAGCGAAAGAACGATCTCTCGTTGCGTTTTAAGATATATTATACTTATTATTAATATACATAATAGCAGTAAAATGATATCTGTATTAATATCAGAATGATACGATATCAAATTAAAACATTTACTACAAATTGATCATTTCAATGAAATTATTATTGATACTGCCACACATCAATATTATCATGAGTCATGGTCGTGTCTCGGCGCTAAAGAAGTGTGCATCGGACCGGACCGTGTCTCTTCATATACACGAATATTTTTAACAGTTTATAAACGTTAGAAACTTTTCTTCAATATTATTGCCTTCAGATATCTTCAACTAAATGCGGTTTTCAAAATCAATATTAATTTAAGAATAATCACATTATAGTATGTTATACGCATATAATGTTCATCACATTATAGTATGTTATACGCATATAAGAATAATTACTCAATTGTTTCAGGATTGATAAAACTTAATCAAATCTAATTGAGACTCATGTCTTATTAAAAAATACATCTTATTTAAATTTTATCGAATTTATAATTTCTCATAACGGAGATTTATACATATAACAGAACATTAAATTGTTTTCTCTTTCTTTTTAGTAAAGATCATCTGATAAAAATCGGTGACTGCTGGACAATGGGACCCTTCGAAATTCTATGCGGCATTGCCGCTGTAGTTCTCGCTCTTTACTATTTCCTCACATCGACTTTCGACTTTTGGAAATCACGTGGCGTTTCTGGTCCACGACCGATACCAGGATTTGGCAATTTTAAAGACGTTATGTTTAATAAAATATCAATAGGTGATTATTTTACAAAAGAATATAACGCCTACAAAGATGAACCATTCTTTGGGATATTCGCGAGGAAGACACCAATGCTTATTGTAAAAGATCTAGAATTAATTAAGGATGTTCTTATCAAAGATTTTACCAAGTTCGCCGATAGAGGCCATCCCATTTTCGAAAAGGTGAGAGATACTAAAAGCTATTAATTTTATCAGACGCACACCTAGTCAGAAATAATTGATCAAATCAATGTCGACGGACTGATGCCACCGACATCGATCAATGACTAATTATTTGTAGCGGAGGATTTATAGATGTAACGCACGGCACTTTACTTTAAATCCACGTACATTTTTACATTCATTAAATAATGAGATTTATTAAAAATCGTGAGAAATTTGCTTCAAGCAGTCTACCTCAAGGAAATTTTTGTAATTCGGAAAAATTTGATTTCGAGCTAACTTTATTTGTTTAAAACTTTGTTTTTTGTCATATTGCAGGCAGAACCACTATCGCAACATCTCTTCTCGTTGGAACCGAAGAGATGGCGACCGTTGAGGATAAAACTGTCGCCTGTTTTTACATCTGGTAAACTGAAGGAAATGTTTTGCTTAATATCAGAGTGTGCGGACAACCTTATCCAATATATGGAAAAAATAGCGAGCACAGGTGAACCCGTAGAATGTCGCGAGCTAACGGCCAAATATACGACAGATGTTATCGGTAGCTGTGCATTCGGTATCGACATGAACGCACTATCCGATGAGGACAGCGAATTTCGTAAGATGGGAAGAAAAGTATTTACTCCAACCTGGAGAACTTTCTTACGAATAAGTATCAGACAAGTTTTTCCATGGCTTTACAACATGTTCGGTTACGTCTTGCCGCAAACAGACGTTACCAAATTTTTTACACGTGTTATCGTGGAAAACATGGAATATAGAGAAACAAATAATATCACTAGAAACGACTTTATCGATGTGTTGCGTGAATTAAAGAAACATCCAGATAAATTGGGCGATATTGGTATGTATCAATCATATATATCTTTATTTTTTTTTCTTGTTACAGGAACATTTTCTTTTCCTGTAAAATAGAGAAATATTGGTTTACTGGAATTTGGTATAATTTTATGAATCACATTAAAATAAAGTTAATTTTTGTTTTTATTATGATTTTTTTAAGATATTAATATTGCTGTTTGAACATCATTTTTGAGCTACATCAAAATTTGAAAACAATAAATTTAGTAAATGTAAATTATTAAATGATTAATTAATCTGTTAAAAAATTAAATTACTCATTTATAATAAGTAATAAGGAAAAAATGATATTTCAGATTTGACCGATAGTTTATTGGCTTCTCAAGCATTCGTATTTTTCCTTGCTGGTTTTGAAACGTCGTCCACTACTATTAGTCATGCGCTCTACGAATTAGCATTAAATCCAAAAATACAAGACAGTCTACGTGAAGAAATTGACGAAGTCTATGCAAAATATAACGGAAACTTAGGATACGACAATATAAAAAAAATGAATTATTTAGATAAAGTTTTCAAAGGTACGTTGTTTAAAGAGAAAATAAAATAAAGAAATATTACGCTTTCTTTTCAACGATATTGCAATATGATCTTATTAATAATAAACTTTAATCGAAACTGTAATAGCCTTTCAATGCATTTCTCTATAAATATTCAACCATAATTCAACATTGTTCTTAATGCAGAAACCTTACGGAAATATCCGCCAGGAACAGCTCTTATGAGACAAACCACATCAAGTTATACTTTCGACGGTACTAAAGTTACTATACCGAAGGACATGAAGGTGTTTATTCCAGTTTATGCGATTCATCGAGATCCGAATATTTATCCAAAGCCAGATGTCTTCGATCCAGAAAGATTTAATGACGAAGCGGTGCAAAGCAGACACCCAATGACTTATTTACCTTTTGGCGATGGACCAAGGAATTGCATTGGTAAAGAAATTTAAATATCATTTTTCATTCTTTTTCGCGCTGAAAATATTTTCAATCGCGATTAAAATTCTTAATCAAAACCTTTGATTTGATTTTTATCACCTTTTTCTTTTTTAGGAGCGCGTTTCGCTGTATATCAGACTAAACTTGGACTCACAAAGATACTACGAAATTACAAAATCGAGACTTGCGAGAAAACTCCAATACCATACATAAACGATCCTAAAGCGTTCATATTATCACCAATAGGTGGAATACACTTGAAAATAATTAAAATTAATCGAACTTAATTTGAGTTGTTCTATAACTGTCTACAAAAAGCATAATAAAATGTGGAAGATATCTGTTAATTGCTATAATAATAATAGGAGTTATTACTCCGACTGTTATAATCATTATTGATCTTTTTAATGTTACTTTGGATTAATATCTCGTAATCAGTAGTTCGACTGTTTAATTTTAAGATTTTTAAGTTTATACTGTAATGTTTAATCTTTTAAAACTGTTTTCTTTTTTTATTGTTTGAGGTAAACAATCGTGTACATTATTAGATATTAAAAGAGTAAATATATCCAGTATTGGAAATAAAATAAAAATATTTAATTGGCATATATGCTGATCAAAAGTCTATAATTACTTGTTCAATATTGTATAATCTTTTATCAATAAAAAATTTGCTTAAATATGCCCATACAACACAGAATTCACGCATTGCAATTGGCCACGTAAAGTTTGCCCACGTTGCGATTTCCCACGCGTTGCAATTAGCCACGTTGCGTTTACCCACGTCGTGTATGTATATTGAAATATATAAAATTTTTTTAAATAAATTGAAAATAAAAAAGCTGTCGTGGATAAAAGCTTATTTAGAATGCACAAATGATAAAAAATGTTGCAAAAAGTTGTTTTTTCAATTATTACAAGTAGACTTGTTGATTACCTCTTTGCGCATACGTTACATACATAATCAGCCTCGAATATTCGTATTTAAAAGAAAAAGGCAAGTCTTGTTAGGACCTACATATAATTTTTATATATTTACTATTTTCATTAACTATTATCATTTATATTTTTATATAATTACTACTATATGATTACTCTATCATTCTATTATACATGTAGCTGATAAACATTAAAATTATTATTTTTAAATAGTTAAATATTATTATATAGTTATATAAAATATTAATATTAAATTATGAATTCTGCTCTATCATTCTATTATACATGTAGCTGATAAACATTAAAATTATTATTTTTAAATAGTTAAATATTATTATATAGTTATATAAAATATTAATATTAAATTATGAATTCTGCACAAATAAAAACAATTTTATATTTTAATATGTGTGTTATATATTCTTGAAGTGGTTTTTGACTATTTTTTTGTTAAAATAGTAATATTACTATTTTTATAATCAAATTTACAATATAAAACTTCCGAGAGTTGTAAAAATAGCACATAAGTTTCATAAATAATATATAAAAAATTATAAACAATTCAGAAAACAAATATAGAAGCAGAAATTTTATAGTCAGATGCGTTCTGTGATTTACTTTATAAACTATGTTTTTATTTCGTTATTATTTTTTAATATTATTCATATTTTCTATGAAGAATCTTTATAATATATCTGTAAATGCGATATTATAGATACACAACCAATGACTACATAAGAATGGCTTTCAATTATCTATGTCGCTAATTGTTCAACATGATAGTAGTAATGGTTAATCGCAATGTGATTAAACACAATACTCCCTTCTCCTTAAACTTGCTTATGCATGTTCCGCGCATATGTAGATATTGTACATGTACGTAAGTTATGATAACGAAGAAAAATAAGTGTTAGGGTAACGATGATGCAACGTACGTTATTTTTCGATCTTACATATTAATTAAATGCATACGCAAAACGTAACGATATTTTACATAATTATCTAATCGATGATATTTTTTTGAATATCACTGTTTACAGAGTCACGGTATCAAGCGAAGAAAAAGATGAATTCGTTTCCATAATTCATCGTGAGTCACGTAAATGCCTGCGTCTCCTATATATCGAATTGCGTTGGAGAGGCTGTCTATAATTACACAATCTACACACGTGGCAGTTAGTATTTTATCTTCAGTTACACCGTTGCGCGCTAGAACAAGTTCACTTACGAGCTGACTTCAGTTGATACTCCGCAGTATCACGATTGCAATTACACCGTACTGCCATTAGGTAAGTCATGTCTGTTGCTTGTATTGACATTGAATCGACAATTTCAGAAAGAAAAGAAGAAGCAAATTCTGTAATTTCATCCTCATACGTACACTCGCTCACTAAAAGGTTGCGACACTTTCTTTTTTATAGGTTTGAAAACGCACTAATATTTTGCAAATGCGGACCACGATTGGTGTTATACTGTTTCTAGACTAAAGATAGTACATCGTGGTTTGCATTTGCAAAA